TTGAGCTAGGCGGAACTCGACAGAAGGGAATTAAGTCTGGAGGAGGATCTCTTTGGCGAGGACGGAACTTATTGGAGAAGTAGGGCGCAGGCAAAAAAGCAACAGCAAGCTTGGACGCGAGCGGCAATCGGCGATCAGTTCTTCAAGGCTTGAGCTGAGTTCAACAAGAGCGATTAGTTGGTTGGATTCTCTGAACCGAACTAGTTGTGTATTGTTGATTTAGAACATGATGATCAAAACCCTATTGTTTTATCTCAATTTCATCATGAACTAAACCCCGATTTCTGGGGGAAACACCATAGGATGTAGCTATTTCTTGATTTGATGGATTGATTTATGATTCTTTTCCTCCAATCTCTATTGCATGAAATTACTTAATGCTTTGTGTTGACTGGCCACCAATACAATGAATCGTAGTTAATTAGGTTATTAGCGACAGTGAAACCCTAATAACTGAACCTATTTCATGTGACATAGTAACTTATCGAAGCGACAGTGGATTAAATAAGATGCTATGCGGTCTTGATTGGGATATCGTTCTTCAGGCTAAATAATTAACTCATTGAGCTACAACAGTAGGATTTGATTTAATTGTTTAGTACGTAGTAATTCCCGACAGGGATAGCTAGCACAGTGGTGAGATCCTGGCTGTAGAGATATGGATTAAATTGATTGGAATATGTGAATAAATTTTGATATGATAGGTAGTGAGTCCCGGTGTTTCTCCCAGAGCTTTCTCCCATTGAGTTCAACCCGACAATTTTAATTTGCTTATTTTGTTTAATTGTTTTGCCATTAGATAATAGTTTCATCACTCAAATCATTTTCACCTATAGTTTGCTCCATAGAATTGATAAGGAATATAAGGTTGTACTAGTCCCTGAGAGACGATACCCGGACTTTCCGGTTTACTACGAGATAGGAAATTGGCATATACGCTTTTGCCCTATCACTTACCATGATGTGCAACATTCACGTTGCCGCTAGTGAGGAAGATGGAGGCATAGGATCAGTCCACTACCAAAAAACAATTGACTGTCCCGATCATATTATCCCTTAGTCAATCCTTTTGAGCTGTGTGTCTTGCTTTCTTCTTGTCTACACCATTGTTGTGTCACCCTTGTGTCTTGATGCACCCGTTACTTGAGCTTCATTGAGGTTACATATAATGATTCTTGCATGGTTCTTCTAAATGTGAAAGTGAAGTGAGTGATGGAGGAAGTTTTTAAAAGTGAGCATGTGTTCATAAAGTTCAAGAATGTGGCATGTGTTTTTAGCTCACCACTAGCCCTCATAAAGTGTAAGAATTAGAAAAGAAAAAAAAATCAAGCACATACTCTATTTTTGTCCCTGGAAAATTTTCCTATCCCAGTGAAGAAGGTAGAAAGAAGACTGAGTTGCCATAGACCTTTGTCTAATCGCAGCGGTGACCATATCCGAGAGAAACTGCTCTACACAAGACAAAGAGGGAAGTCTGGAAAAAAGGAAGGAGAAACCTATGTCGATAGAGCGAAAAATAAAGCCCCTAAACTATAAGATAAGTAAGCCTCCCCAGAACATACAAGGGCACGTCGAGCCCACGCGAAGGGTTTATTTAAGATATGCCAGATTCCGCCCAGTATACAAATGAAACCTATCATACGTGTCCTCTGATTATATCATAAGATTTCCCTCTATCGTATCATGGCTAAAATCATTAAATACATCATACATAGAGAAATAAATAGTATGAAAGTTCTATTTTAGGGAAGGACGACGTACCATGATACTTTCTGTTTTGTCGAGCCCTGCTTTGGTCTTTGGTTTGATGGTTTCACGTGCTAAAAATCCAGTACATGCCGAGCTTTACCCATCCTCCATCCACTTTTTTGCATGTTGCGCCTCTCTATAGTGCCCATTGATCAAGGTCCTAAGCTTGGGAAATCATCCCACTTTGTTGTCTTTCTCTTTCTTTGAAGCTAGAAAGATGCAGTGCTTTACCGTCTCACAAGATCTGTTGGGAAAAGCTTGAAAATTGATCGGCCATTTGAGCGAAAGATTGAGCATTGGATCAAGAGAGTGCATTCTACTTATCGTACCACCATGGGTAATAGCACCTCGGATGGAGCCGCCGATAACTCTGGATTTTATGGTGTAACCTTTTTTTTCTTAGCTTCCGTTACACCTGATGTCCCCCCCTGCCATACACCGGCAGCATGACATCTGTTGCCGATCCTTATCTTGTCAACAGGACCGGCGAATGATAGACCATTAATTGCACATGTTTAGACCACCATTCTTGAACCGTTTAAGAGTCGATTCTTGTGTTTTAAGCCGATTTCACGCTAGGTTGTTCGTTTATGTCATATTTCAGGACTTGGCGTGGACGTGAAGGCGTGGAAACGAGTTTCGGGTCAAAAAGTGGACAGTTGGAGCGAAAGGAGGTGGAAGGAGAAAATACTCGGTCGGCCCCTGAAATACCCGATCGGGTATTGTTGCTTTGGATGCCGGTATAGTAGAAGGAGACCCGGTCGTGGCGCTTAAATACCCGATCGGGTATTTCCCCTTTGTCCGTGCGCAGCATTTCAAAATACCCGGCCGGTCACCTGAAATACCCGACCGGGTATTTAGGTATCTCGATCTGCACCCTTTTGAGGGGAAGAAAGCCTCTTTTGAGAGGGATCCGATTTCCAGAGAAATAAAGCAGATACCTAGAGAGAGAAAGTGACGAACCAGAATCTCCAAGTGCCCTAGATCGATCTTCAACACCATTGGAGCTCAGTTGAAGCTTGGAGAAGTGTTGATCGATTACCAGAAGCAGATTCTCATCCTTCACAGAATGATTTCCGCATTTGAAGCAGATTTCTCTTCTCTCTCTATGGAGTAAACTCACTCACTCACCTGGGTATGGAGAACCCTAGATTTGTATATTAGGTCTGGTTGTATGAACCCAAGTACATGTTCTTTGATATCGATAATATTCAATTGAGGCATGGTTTTCTGAATTGCATGAATCCTTATCAAATTCCTATCGTTCCTGCTTTGACCTAGAAAGAGAATATCTGCCTAGATTGATAGAGCAACCTTAATTGAAGGTAGTGAATTGATGGCTCTAGTTGTGGAGTCAATTCACTATTTTGTACTGGATTTACTCCAGAGAGGAGGTTTGGTACGTTAGGGCCTCAGTCTTTTTACTCCGGCGGAGGTTAGTCGCCCCCTGGGGATTCAGATTGAGAGGGTCTGGAGACCTTTAGTCGAGACTTCAGACTGTCTAAGAGCCTCCCGTAGTATAATTATCATTGAATTTGGACTTGGTGAATTACAAGTTGGCTTAACTACAATCTAGGGGGAACCACATCTAGGTGACATCTCTCAAACTTGGAACACAACCTTTACTTCCTTTGCTTGCTAGTTTAGTTAAACCTTCACTACGTTTGAACGCTAAATAATAAGAATTTCATGGAGTAGTCATCATACCTAGGACCCGAGTTGACATTTAAATCGAGACCCGTTATACTACGCATTAGTAGGTGGTTGCACTTAGCCACTTTCTGGTGTGACAGTACATGCCTTGTTCTATAGTGAAAGAAACTTCGTCACTTTCTGGTACCCATTGGACGACAGCCCTTTCGGGGGTTCCTTAGGGACCGATTCACTCTGCGTAGATTGATTGAACGCAGAAAGCCTTCCACTGGCAGGCAATCATTTATCGTTCCTCTTGTCAGCATTCTCACTTCTGATATCTCCAGGTGTTCTAAAGTGGGAAAAGAAGAAAAAAGAGTTGCCACCAAAGATGATTATGCTCTAAAAGAGTGTTTCTTAACAGCCAAGCTTAAAGACACATACATTATTGTTTACCTCCTTCACTCTTGTGTATGAAAGGTTCGATAGCAGTTGTAGCAGAGAAAGTATGTTGTGAATGTTTTTTTGTGAGTAGTTGATAACGATATAATTGCACGTGTTTGCACCCCTAGTTCTTATCCGTTTGAGGGGCATAGTCGTGTATTTTTGGCCTATTTTACGCCGGGTTGTGCTATTTTGTCATATTTTAGGTCCCAGGCGTCAAAGGGAAGGCTAAGCACGAGTTTCGGGGCATTCGGAAGTCATTCGGTGGAGCTGGAGCCAAAACACGGGCACACCTAAAATAGAACACGGCCGTGTTCTGTGGCCGTGCTTTTACTGCCGAGAGCTAATTGAGTTTGGCAAAATGAAGCTGCAAACACGGGCTGAAAGCACGACCGTGTCCACCAAAGCACGGCCGTGTCCACCCAAAAGCACGGCCGTGTTTCTCCCAACAGGTGGTCGTGTAATTAACCCTAGCCAAAGCACGGGCGGGCTGAAGCAAAGCACGGCCGTGCCCTTAACCGTGCTCTTTGGCCACTGATGCCCTTTTAAGCAGATTTCAGCCAAAACAGAAGGGGATTCGAGTTTTAGAGAGACAGAGCGATTCCTAGAGAGAGAAAGCGACGAACAAGAGTCTCCAAGTGCCCTAGCTTGATCTTCATCACCATTGGAGGCCATTTCGAGCTTGGAGAAGTGCCGATCAACGTCCAGAAGCAGGAATCCATCCTTCACAGTATGAATTCCGCGTCTGATGCTGCTTTTGCTTCTTTCTCCATGGAGTAGTTCTCCCATTCATTTGGGTATGGAGAACCCTATATTTGTATGTTAGGTTTGATTGTATGAACCCAAGTACTGATTCTATGATTTGATTATATTCGATTGAGGTTTGAATGATTGAATGACTTGAATCCTGATCAAATTCCTATTAGGCTTGTCAATGGGTAGGCCTATTGGGTCTTTTGACCCAAATACTTTGACCCATATGGGCATTGGGTTTGGACCCAAATGGATCCAATTTTTATTTTTACTCTTTTGGGTTGGGTTGGGTTTAAATTGGGTCCAGAATGGGCCTATATATTTGGGCCGACCCAAATGGGTCCATTTGGGTATAAGTCAGATTTTGGTAAGTTGAAATTCCTGCATATTAGAAAACAGACCCAAATAATATTTCTAAGTCTTAGTCTCCCATAAACATCCTCAATGGTAGAAAACAGAAAATACAACTCATGGTTCATGTTCACGTTCAGAAAGGGGAAAAAAAGTAAAAAACATCTCAATGTCTGGTACTTGTCCTCCAACTCTTTCAACTCATAATCGCATCTGTGTCGTAGGAAGCAAGCAAGCAGCCTTCTCTGCCATGCAAAATTACAACATGTCATGAGACCATAAATAATTACTAATTACCGAAAAATGGGCAGAAAGGAAGGTGCCAGAACATAACTATAACGAGCAGAATTGATTGGGCCATTGTTTCTACCACGGTAGTGGAACTATTATTCATTAGAGCAGCTCACAGATGAAAGAAACGAGACCAACCATGTCAAATTCATATGACCCAAAACAATATTCCTTCTCACTATACAAAGTACAAACCCATCTCCCCAATTCTAAAAAGAGCTTCAAACTTTAGTAAAAAAGGACTCGAGGTATGATGAGTTGTAGCTTACAGAGCTGATGTAATCGAGTAGAGCTGCGTTAGCTTCCCCGTCCTTGGCAGGGGCATCGATCTGAACTCCTACTGCCTCTTCACTGAAGTCTATCTTCACACAGTAAACAAATCCCCCCAAAAAAGAACTGAAACGCCAATGTATGGAAGAATTTGATAGAAAGAACTTATCATAGGAAGGAAGAGACGAAGACCATATATATGCAGATACATATTCTCAAAAGGACAAGTATGCAAAAGTCAGCTGGAAACTCACCTCTTGGCTCCGCTTCAATTGTCATGCTCCTCCCCATCTTCATCAAAATCTGCATCTTCCGCGTTCTCATCGTCTATAGTTGCATGACTCAAATCATGAGTAATTTTGGACACACCTATGTCAAAATTGAAACCAATTAGTAACCAATGATATACAATGTTATACCTTTGATAAAAACATAAATCATATACCTTTGACCTCATTTAGTAACCAATTTTGAGAACACATCAACGCCTCGATAGCATTAGCGTCAAGTCGACTACGATGCGGACTCAACAATCTACCACATGTGCTAAAAGCAGATTCCGAAACAACTGTCGTCACGGGGATGGCTAGAATATCTCAAGTAGAAACTCTTATAGAACTTCAGAGCTCAACACAAACAGCTAAAAACACTACAGACACAGAAGCAAGACACCAAGCACCAAAGCACACAACTTTTTTCCCCGGCGTACCTGTAGCACTGTGACCTGCGCAAAGAGACGAGTAAGTTATGAACTGAGAATCGAAGTCGGCGGGACAGTGGAGAGCTTCTTTGGCTCTACTCAGCTGGAGGAAGGAAGCCCAGATTGTGCCGACACCGACCCAGATTGTGCCGCGAAGCTTCCTCTCGCCGCGAAGCTTCCTCTCTCCGACTGAACCGACGCAAACCCAGAACCAATATACGAAATGTTAGAGCGCGAGATACAGGGGAAAAGAAGAACCGAGCAAACAGAAAGGGGGCAAGATCTAGAAGAGAAGAAGATGGGGCAAACCTGGAGAAGAGCGAGAGGTGGGTTTCTTCCACAGCCTCGGGGTCCGATGGTGGGGAAAAGGAGAAGCTACCGGCGTCGGGGCTGATGGTCGCTGATCGAGAATCGGGATTGCAGGGCGGCGTCGTCTTCGGGGCTGATGGTCACTGATCGAGAATCGGATGCAGGCGGGCGGCGGCGGGATACGATGGTGGAGAAGCAGTCGCTCTATTAGCCATTAGGTCGAAGATGAAAGACCCGTTTGGGTTCTGTGGAAATTTTTTTTTTTTAATTAATTCTTTGGGCCTATCTTGGACCCAATTTAATTGGATGGGTATGGGTCTGCTCCAAAACAGAAAAACCCAAAACCTGATTTGACCCAAATTCAATTGGGTTTGGGTAAAACTCATACCCTAAGACCCATTTGACATGCCTAATTCCTGTTGTTTCTGCTTTAACCTAGAATGAGAATATCTGCCTAGGTTGATAGAGCATCCTTGATTGAAGGTAGGGAGTTGGTGACTTTAGTCGAGGAACCAACTCACTATTCTGTACCGGATTCACTCCGGTAGTGGAGGTTTTGTTTGTTAAGGCCTCAATCTGTTTACTCTGGTGGAGGTTAGTCGCCCGCTAGAGACTCAGATTGAGAGGGTCTGAATACCTTTAGTCGAGGTTTCAGGCTGTTTAAGAACCTTCCGCAGTATAACTATCATAGAAATTGAACTTGGTAATTACAATCCGGCTTAACTGCAGTCTAGGGGGAACCATATCCGGGTGACCTCTCTTAACCTGAATACAACAGTTTACTTGCTTTGTTAGTTTGTTAGTTTAGACTTGCATTAAAGTTTCATTGCTAGATAACAAGAATTCACCGAGTAGTCATCAAATCTAGGACCCGGGTTGACATTTAAACCCAAACCCGCTATACTACGCTTTAGGAAGTGGTTACACTTGGCCAATTCCTAGGGTGACAGTAAGAGCGAGTCAGTAGTTGTGGTTCAGAATTGTGGAACATGTGGTTCTTAGTTTTTGTGAGTGGTATTTGGTTGTTGTAAGTGGTTTTAGGTTGAAATTGTGGAACCTCATTCTATATGTGCCACCATCCAAAAAGCTTGTACTCCATGTCCTAGACCCTAGCTTGTCATTTGAACCAGTATCAAGTCCTCCGGACAAGCTAGTGGTGACACCCATCCAGTGAACTCTAGCATTTAGAGGTTGTCGCCATGATAAAGAGACGATGCACATCTTTTCTATCAAATGGTCCTGATCCGACTCGTTGAGAGTGAGCGATTCTTTCTTCATATATCATGTACCCCGGGGAGGACATAGATTGCTCGATCGTTTGTTCTGAAGAATTTATCTTTATCCACGGATGACGGTGAGTAGTGAGTAGCTTACACAGTTTATGAATTGATTTGTAACATGGAGAGGACTCCTCCCTTATAAAGTTTTACTGTATTCGAATGTCATTTGTGGTGGTTGTTAGGATTGTTGTTGTTTTTGTTGTTCATATGTTGGTGCCAAATAGCCATTGTGATTCACGTGTTTTGTTCCTCTATGACATGCCCCTGAAGTTTTCAATAAAGAGATTGTAAGCTTACCTGGTTTCTTACTTGGTTTTCTTGAGGACAAGCAAAGATTTAAGTGTATTGGGGGAGGGGTGTTTGATTAGGACATATTTATACATGTTTTACCCCTTAATACCTTGATTGTTTAGCTTGTTAGTCTCCGTCCCTCGATCTAATTTACGCTAGATTGTGTTTTATGTCACATTTCAGGTCTTATTATGTGTGGGAAGGTCGAGGATGAATTTCGGGGCAATTGGAGGTCAAACGAGCCAAAGGACTGATAAAAGATAAAAAAAATCACGGCCTTGGAGGTGAAGATCATGGCCTCAGACCATGAACATTGTAAAGAGGCCGTGATCCTTTCACGAATCCAGGGGCATCTTTGCAGCTCGTGGGAATAGTTGAAGATCACGGCCTCCGCCCATGATGTTTGCAATTGGGATCGTTAAGTTTGACCAAAAATAGGGCATTTTCAATCGAGAAAACGGCCTAGCTGTTGAGATCAGAGTAGTGATCTTAGACCATGAAGACTGCACTCGGTTTGTATAAAAGAGGCAGGTGTAGGAGAAAGAAGGAGAGTTTGGCTGGGATATGGAATTTCTAGGTTCTTCTTTAGGGTCCCGACCCAAAACACCAAAGGGACATTTCTAAAGAGAGAGAGAGAGATTTTGATTGATATTGGAGCTTAACTGGAGGCATTGATCAAGCTTCGAGACAAAGAATCAAGTCTAAGAGATGAATATCTGGAGCTAGATTATAATCTCTATCCTCTTTGCAATGAATTAGACCTCTTCTCTTAGGTTGTTGAACCCTATGTCTAGATTTTGGTTTGATGTTGATGTATGTGATAAATCCTATGTTTGATTGCTCATATTATCTAATTTATGGATGTTTATCATGAATTTCATGAGTTTTACATGTCAATTGAGCTTTTGACCTAGGAGAAAGACAATCCCCTTATAGCCGACTCTTGGCAATTCGGGTTACTTTTGTTTATATGTCGTTCGAGGGTAATCCCCGAGGGAGTTGATTTGGTCTATCTCAGGATGGTATATTGATAACAACCAAATAGGTGTTATTTACCCTTCATATTTAGCTTGATTTCGTGCTAATTCATGTTCTTAACTGTAAGAATAGTATCACTCGCATCCCTATTTCGTTCCTATTTGATTATAATATGTTTTTAGGGTGCTGTAGATAATATTTGCGAATTAGGTACGAAAAAATGGCACATGTGTAGCAAAAGGGGTAGAAGATTGAAGATCACGGCTCGGAGATGGAGATCACGACCGAGATCAAAGACTGCAAAATCAAGGTAAAGATTGCGAGATTATGGGAGCTCGGGGCGTGAACTTTGTGAAGAAACAGCCAAAGAGAAACAGAGAGTTTCCCCAGTCTGATCACGACCATAATGCGGCATTGGCATATCGCGACTTCCAAGAAGATCGCGACCGCGATCTTTACCCAGATGGTCGTGAACTTCTATGTTTTCTAAAGGCTATAAATAGAAGACCCCTTTCACCCAATTGAGAGAGCTAATTTTGAGAGAGAATTTTTGGTTTTAGAGAGAGAGAAACTGAAGGAAGGAAAAGAGGAGGAAAAGGAGAGGCTAGAAGAGAGGAGCCTCGTGCAGGCCGTGACCCATTACACAGACCTGAATGTTCTTGCAGAGGTGAGATGTGGGTTTGGGTAAATCCATATTTTGTTTCTGTTCACTGTTAGCAACCTCTGCATCTTCCAAGAACCGACGACCACCTCCGGCTCGGCTCCAAACTCCTTTTCATCGCCTCTTCCCCAACGGCCGCCGCCAAAATCACCTCCATTTTGCCCCCGAAGCAGCTGTCGTACCCAGATCCTCTGTCGCCAGGTCCAGGGCTGAGCTACCCGCCGCGGCAAGAGATCCAGCGGCGACAAATTCGAAGAGCGGAGTGCACGGCTTCAGATCCAACGCTGCTGCTCTCGCGAAAGATTGGGATTGATGTTCCCCGCTCTAGTGACATCGTTGAAATGAAATCCGGGCGCGGATGCGATATCGAATTTGGGATTCAAGTCCCTTGCAAAAGATGGGAGACACTGCCGTGTCGGACGAGTGAGGGAGACGTAACGGCATCGATGGTTCCTTCGGTTGAAGGGAAGATGTGAAAGATGAAGAGGAAGGCCTCTGGTACTGGTGGTGATTATTTTTCAGATTGTTGTTACTACCCTCCGATTGCGTTTGCGGTGGTGGCAATGGTTCCTTCGGCTGGCTTAGTGCGTGAAGGTGAACGCGGAGAAGGTAAGAGAGAGAGGCACGTTTCTCGAGGGTATAAGAAAGAAAATTATTTATTTATTTTCTGACGTGGCATCCAAATGTGAAATTTTGATGACCAGGAGCTTACGTGTGGGATGGGTATGGTCCTAGTCAGCGTTCCGTCGCATTAATTGACGCCGTAACAAACGACATTAAAGTTTGTAACAGAAATGGATGGATTTGTCACACAACCCTCCGATGTTTGGATATTTCGTGTAGTTTGATAGTTGTGGATTTATTTGTCGCAAACGTGATAGTTGTGGATATACAACTGTATTTTGCCTTCTTTTAATTAAAACTATGTTTAATTATTGCTTTATTTTTGTTTTTATTTCCGTACTTTAAATATACTAGTACTAGTAATAATCGTACTTATATTATATATTTATCATACCTATAACTATTACTCGTCTTCCTCTCATTCTTACTGACTCGTCCCAATTACCACAATAAATTCCCGCCTAAGGTCCAAGTATAAGCCTTAGTCAGGTGCAATATAGGATAAGTATGTTTAAATATCAACCCG